CCCCAAAACCCCAAAACCCCAAAACCCCAAAACCCCAAAACCCCAAACGAATTCTTAACCCATCCTATACCCAATATCTCCCCCAATTTTTTTACCCCAATTACTCTCCTAAAATTCCAGCTCAACCACTCTTCCTCACAAGTCAAACCCACCGCTCCCCATCATTCCCTCAATCCCTCCTCCAACCGTACAAATCTCCCAATCCCCATCACTATTCACCTAATTGAGAAGTAGCTTACAGTCCCTTCTTCCACTGAAATATCAGAATTTGAAGTTTTAAGGTATTTCACAGTTTGCTTTTTAACTTATTATGAGGAAATTACTTTAGAATCCACCTCTGAGTCTCAAGACCAAATGGAGGGTACTTTCTTTTTGGATGTTATAGTCGGACAAGGTTCTGCCATCCTCAAGTTGCTTTCCAGCGAAGATGAGTCTTTGCTGGTCTGGTGGAATACCTTCTTTGTCTTGAATCTTAGTCTTTACGTTGTCAATGGTGTCAGATTGTTCAACATCAAGAGTGATGGTCTTTCCAGTCAAAGTCTTGACGAAGATCTGCATACCTCCTCTAAGTCTCAATACCAAGTGGAGAGTACTTTCCTTCTGAATGTTGTAGTCAGAGAGGGTTCTTCCGTCTTCCAATTGCTTTCCGGCAAAGATAAGTCTTTGCTGATCTGGAGGAATTCCTTCCTTATCTTGGATCTTAGTCTTGACATTGTCAATAGTATCAGATTGCTCGACATCAAGGGTGATGGTCTTTCCAGTCAAGGTCTTAACGAAGATCTGCATACCTCCTCTGAGTCTCAATACCAAGTGGAGAGTACTTTCTTTCTGAATATTGTAGTCTGACAATGTTCTTCCATCCTCAAGTTGCTTTCCAGCGAAGATAAGTCTTTGCTGGTCTGGTGGGATACCTTCCTTATCCTGAATCTTGGTCTTGACGTTGTCAATAGTGTCGCTCTGCTCTACATCAAGAGTAATAGTCTTTCCAGTGAGGGTCTTCACGAAGATTTGCATATTTATTTAGAAAATAATTTATTAATTAATTCTGGATTTTTTTCTTATATATCTCAAAATCGGTCTAAAAATTTATTTCCTGATAGAATTCGGAGAATTAATCTGACGTTTTTCTAGCTCTGGTTGAGAGATGGGGTTTTGGGGTTTTGGGGTTTTGGGGTTTTGGGGTTTTGGGG